AGGGCACCTTGACATTAGAAATACTGGATGCAAAGTCGTGACAAGCGGGTGATTTATTCCACGGTGAGGATCCTATGATCAATGTTTCTCAACTAGCCGCTAAGATAGATATATCATTCCATGGAGAATTTCTTGCGCTACAAGTTCATATATATATGATAGTGAAAAAGGTGTCCCAGCACACCTTGGCATCACAAACATTTTTTGGAAAGCCATGAAAAGCTGGTGGCTTATTTCACGGTGTGGATTAGCTTTTTCACGCAACTCCAGTCGATTTACCACTATCCGCAAGCGTCGAGAAAGTTACCAAAATATTCCGGTAAAAAGCACTATAGAACGCCGGAAGACGTTTTAATTTGCTCAAAAGTTTTCACTCTATCAGGCTATATGGTTTACAAAATTTTCTCACTAAAACCTAAGGACTTGGTTTTTCAGCGGTCAGGTTTTCTAGACGCTGTATTATGAACTTTTCTCATGATAGGCTAATATGCACCTAATCTGATAGAAAACTCTTCGGGCTATTCAAAACATTATTCAGATTAGTTCGTGCTTTTACTAAAAGGCCAAAAACAAGAGCGTTGTAGTGATTATGACATACTATACTGCTTACATAACACCCAAAAGCTTCTTTTCTATACCTCTGATGACTAGCCCCACCTGTCTGGATATTGTGACTGGCTCACTTTGCATAGTACTTCAAGCGCTAGCCAATGGTTCATTTTGCAGTAGTACACAATTTTCAATATGGTAAAAAAACGGTAAACGGAGTGTAGAAATGACTAAGACAGGTCAAAATCATGATATAGCCCAGGTATTTCAACAATTGTCCCATGTGGGCATATTTCTCAAAGCCATATTTATACCACATTTTGAAGTCCGTGTCTCTATTGAACGGTATATCTATCGTAGTGGCTAGCTCTAAAACATTGACCAGGATCCGCACCCTGGAATAAATTACTGGCGTTTCATGGCTTTCCAGACAGTATTTCTAATGTCAAGGTGCCTTGCGACACTTTTACCACTATTATATATACATGAAATTGTAGTTCGAGAAATTTTCTATCGAATGATATATCCGTCGTAGTGGCTAGTCGAGAAACGTAGATCATATTATTCGCACCCTTGAACATTTAACCAGCTTATCACGACCTTGCACAAAAGTATTTCTAATGTCAAGGCGCCCTAGGACACTTTTCTCACTATTATTTATATAGCCTATATTATTTATATACACCACTCGATAAACAATTTTTCGAGCTATTATATGCCATTCGCAAGTTGTTTTTCTGAGCTGTATATCTCTAAATCACCCACAAAGAAATAGTTGTTCCGAGGCCAAGTAAGTTTAGGAATACTTCTATCTATGGAAAATCATCTTCCATCTGCAAAAACTTTAAGATAATGACACCCTTTATGATTCACCCAGTACGATAGACATACTAATCGACAGCGAATTTCCCGCGCCACAAGCCCATATATACGTGATAGTGACCAAAGTGTCCTAGGGCAGCTTGACATTACAAAATACTTTCTGCAAAGCCGTGACAAGCGCCAGCCTTATTCCAGGCTCGGATCCTTTGATGAACGTCCCGGACTAGCCACTACGATAGATATACCAATCGATAGACAATTTCTCGCGCAACAAGTTCATGTATATACAATAGTGACAAAAGTGTCGTAGAGCACCTTGACATCCAAATACTTTCTGGCACACCTTTTGCAGTAACATATATATATATATGAGCTTGTAAGGCGAGAAATTGTTTATCGATTCGTGTATCTGTCGCAGTGGCTAGTCGAGAAACGTTGATCACAGGATCCGGAACGTGGAATAAGTCACCCGTTTTTCTCCTGCCGCGGCTTAAGTATTTAGTCACGCCAGAAAGTATTTCTAGTGTCAAGGTGCCCTAGGACACTATTATATACCACTATTATATATCTCTATAAACAATAGTGAGAAAAGTGTCCTAGCGCGCCCTGACATTAGAAATACTTTTCTGCAAAGCTGTGACAGGCTGGTTAATTGCCCAAGAGTGCGAATCCTATGATCAACGTTTCTCGGCTAATTTCATGTATATATAATAGTGATAAAAGTGTTGTAGGGCACCTTGACATTAGAAATACTGCATGGAAAACCGTGCAAAGTGACTTATTCCTTCGCTGAGGATCCTATGATCAATGTTTCTCAACTAGCCGCTACGACAGATATATGGTTCCATGGAGAATTTCTTGCGCTACAAGTTCATATATATATGATAGTGTCAAGGTGCCCCAGGACACTATTGTCTATCACTATTATATATGCCTATAAATAATAGTGAGGAAAGTGTCATAGGGCACCTTGACATTAGAAATACTAGATGCAAAGCCGTGAAAAGTAGGTGACTTATTCCACGGTGAGGATCCTATGATCAACGTTTCTTGACTAGTCTCTACGATAGATATACCAATCGATAGACAATTTCTCGAGGTACAATTTCATGTATATATAATAGTGAAAAAACTATCCTAAAAAATATCTCTATAAATAATAGTGAAAAAAGTGTCCTAGGGCGCCTTGACATTAGAAATATTTTTGTGCAAGGCCGTGACAAACTGGCTAATTATTCAAGAGTGCGAATCGTATGATCAACGTTTCTCGGCTAGCCACTACGATAGATATACCAATCGATAGACAATTTCTCGAGGTGCAATTTTCATGTATATATAACAGTGAAAAAACTGTCCTAGGGCACCTTGACATTAGAAATACTGGATGCAAAGCCGTGAAAAGTAGGTGACTTATTCCACGGTGAGGATCCTATGATCTACGTTTCTCGACTAGCCACTACGACGGATATATCATTCGATAGAAAATTTCTCGAACTACAATTTCATGTATATATAATAGTGACAAAAGTGTCGTAGGGCACCTTGACATTAGAAATACTGTCTGGAAACCCGTGAAACGCCGGTGGCTTGTTCCAGGGTACGGGTCCTGATCAACGTTAGAACATTAACATGTTTTCTTCTATTTATCCATTGAATCGTAAATCGTAAAGAGAATTTCAATACATATATACCTACCAAAATAAATTTCATGTATACGTATACATACATCAAAAGCAACTGATAATATATCAAAATGTTATTAAAATAAGATGCACATAATGCAAACTTCGAGCGAAATTTATTTTTGAACTTATTATATATATACTTTATTATTCGATAAAGCTTTTCAAGCAGATCGAGAATATGTTGTTTTGAATTAAACTCGAAAAACGACGGTGTTCGAAAAAGTTTGGTTTTTCTACTTGGGTTTTTAGTCGAAACGTTCAAACCACTTTTTTCTTATTCAGCGTTAAAAGCTGAACTAAAAAATGACATTAAATCCATTTCGAAGGTAAACACCTGTCCACCATGGACATTCGAATGCACCGCTGGAAGAGAAGGGTGAGCCATTTTGCAAACCTGTATTTCTATTCTATCTAACTACTTTAATTTGTTTCGAATTTTCGCGTTGAAAAATTCCCGAGATTTTCACCAGGAATTGAAAGCCAACTAAAAATTTTGAAATACACATCAATCGACTCAGTGTTTTATCTTGACTCCGAATAGGATATTTTTATTTCATAAAAGTTGAGTTCTGATGGCGAAAATTGAGAATTACGGGTAGAATTCTGACTTTTTCGCCTCTAATTTAGAAAAAATAAATTTTTCAGCAACGAAAGGGAAGTTCAGAAAAAGCTTCACCTACTTTTGTTGTCCATCTAAAGGCGCATCGCATGTGGTATAAATCCAGGCTCCATCCATTTTTTTCAGAAAAAGCTAGATAGGTTTGCAAAATGACTCACCCTTCTTTTCCGGCGGTGCATTCAAATGTCTATGGTGGACAGGTGTTTACCTTCGAAATGGATTTAAGGTCATTTTTAGTTCAGCTTTTAACGCTGAATAAGAAAATAGTGGTTTGAACGTTTCGACTAAAAACCCAAGTAGAAAAACCAAACTTTTTCGAACACCGTCGTTTTTCGAGTTTAATTCAAAACAACATATTCTCGATCTGCTTGAAAAGCTCTATCGAATAATAAAGTATATACATAATAAGTTCAAAAATAAATTTTACTCGAAATTTGTATTACGTCTTAAATGCGTTGTGCCGCGTCTGAGCGAATGACAAGAATTTGGAAATGCCCCTTAAAGGATAATTAAAAGTATTGGTGGAGAATGAGTATATATGTCACAATATGAAATATCCAGCACAAAGCACTGATGCATGAATTAAAGATGAGTGACACTATAATAGAACTGCAGTTAGTGGCAAGCTTTTTTGATAATAAATGCATAATAAATGAAGTATTGCATAGGTTTTTCGTCTTGTTCGTCCTTAGTCATGCATCAGGGATTGGTAATGGATATTTCATACTGGGATACTTCTTCTTAGATATCAATTGTTTTTTTGCGAACCAAATTTAGGCAGAAAAGCACGTTGTTGTCTTGAAATAGTGAGGACATGAACTGAATTTGCTACTTTATTTCGATTCGCGCAATTTCTTTTTTCTTTTGTTGGTAGCGAGTAAACAATTACGGACAAGCACATATTGTGCCATGTTGATACTTTATTTCTGTGTTCTCTGTAAAATACGATATCACACATTTTGTGATTTCATGCCAGAGAGTAGATACAAGCACGATCTCGATTTGAGGTTCGGAATCTGGTTTTGTCTACTTTCTAACATAAGATCATAACTCAGTTCGTAGATGAGCATCTAGCGAAATAATCCTCCTTATTTAAACAAAAATTGAATTAAGTAGACTTGAACGTGCAGGAAAAAATGTTGTTCGTGTAGAAAGAAAGAAAAATCTTGTTTTCGGTCTTGCGTTCAATCTAGCTTATAACTGATGTAGTCTTTGTTTTGCCTAACATTGTGTGAATTGTCAGTTCACACACAGCTCGTGTCTCAACAGTTAACAACTGATACTCTTTTGAGTTGTTTATGATTTTTTCGTTTATAGGCAATAAAATGAGTAATCAACCGTTCAGTTGGGTTAAAAATGGAGAGGGTCAACATTATGGATGGTCTCAAGATAGTTTATTTGTCAAAGTGCCGTCATCGACAACCAATGGTGAATTGTCTATAGTTGAAGATACACTGAAACCAAACTTCTTTTTGGCTCGACATCATCATAAAATAATGACAGAAATATTTTATGTTGTTGAAGGTCAGGTAGAATTTATATTTGATAATCAAACAATCATGTCGAACAAGGGAGATACAATTGTTGTGCCACCAAACACATGGCATGCGGCTAAATGCGAAAAAGGTGGTAAAATGTTAACTATATTCAGAAATGGTCAATTTGATGTCTATTTAGCAAAATTAGTAACAATGACTGACGCAGATTTTAAAAATGATCAATTAGTAAAAGGGGTGGACAAAGACTATGATATTTACAAGGAATGAACAGAAACAACATGAAACTTTTCTTCATTTTTTTCACTCACGAATTATCATAAAATCGATTTACTTCAGAATCTAACCTTCGATCGCGCTTTAGAAACTAACCTCTATAGTATGTTTGATTTGTAGTTACATTTTCAAACTAGCCCTATCCGGCTAACAAAAATTTTTCACTCTAATATTTTTATTTAATAAGTTTTTAACATAGCACGAAACAATGATGTCCCACTCATTTCTAGCATTGATTAATATAATAATAATTGAAAGATATACCCTACTCTTAATGCTGTTTTATTGTCGACTGTCTATATGAAAATCAGCGGTTATAGGTTCATATCATGGAAACGCGTGAGAACAACAAATACAAAAAAGTAGTAAAGACAGAAAAACGTCGCTCTAGTAAAACTTCGCAAACACCCTAACAGACTCTGGTATCTTCTTTTTTTTTTTTATTACACGTTACAAAACTACACCACTTATCAAAGTAAGTAATCGGATCGGAGGAGAAAAACTTCACTAAGCGTTTACTAGGTCTTCTTACTGGCATACCTTGAATGTAGGCATTTTTGCAGTGGTGTGTGAAAAATTTATTGATCACTTGCTTGTTCTGAAGCATCTTTTCTAAAAAATTTGGCTGGTACTGTTGTATTCTGTCTAGTCTTTTCACCAAACACTTTCGATATTTTGATTCTAAAGTGGATAACAAAAGACTTTATGAAGATCTATCGTTGAGCAGTTAAATACAAAAAATCATTCGTAAGCATCTTCTAAAGACTGCATTGATGCGATTTTTTGTTGTGACACAGAATAAACAATATATGGTTGCCAATAATAAAAAATGTGGTCAGATATATGTTTTAAAAAACTTCGATTTAAGAGAAAAGAAGGAAGGAAATTGTCTATAAACATATTTTAGAATAGTATAAGAGTTTCTCAGCTTAATGAATTGGGAATCGAACATGGGATAAAAGCTTAGTTTTTCGTTTAGAAGAAAGCCCAGATATTTATATATTTGATTGTTTAGGTAGTTTTCCGTTAAAAATTACTTTTAATTGCGGACGTTGAACCGTTCTGTGGTAGACGGCTATCTCCGTTTTATCTACGTTATCCGGTTGATGCCAATCGTCCGTATACTTCTTCAGACGCACCATGTCTTCATTTATGAGCTTCTCTATTTCTTTCACCTGATCGCGAAGGAATATATTAGGTGGATAGATGTTGGATAGGTCGTCAACGTATAAGTGTGAATCATCGAGACTTTGAAAAATCTGTGTTAGATCATAATGTGTAACTATGTATGCTAGTGGACCAAAGTAGCTACCCTGTGGAGCTCCTCTTTAAATGCTGATTTCCTCCGACATCACTGAGTCGTAGTCAATCACTAGTTTCCGATTTGTGAAGTAGTTTATAATCCAGAACAAATATACGTACGGACAATTCAGTCGATGTAGTTTTGATAACAGCCCTTGATGCCACAGCATATCGAAAGCTTGCTTAAAATCCACAAAAACGACCGGAGTCAATGTATTGCATCTTTGTGATTGTGTTAGTTGTTCCAACAAAAGGTTTATTCGTGATGTTGAGTGATTAATTTTATTGAAACATAGTGTTCTTGACTTTTTCCAACTGTCTCCCCAATGTACTTTAGTAAACAATTTATTAAATGATTTGGCTAAAGTGTTATGATATTCGTCTGGCAGTGATTTAATCATTTTATTTGAGACGCCATCGAAACCACATAAGTTTTTGCTATTTGATTTCTTGATTACATTCCTTATGTCATGAATAGTGTATCTCAAATCGGAGTTAATACACACGAGTTCGATATCATCCTTGTCGGCGTTTGATAATTGTTCCCAGAGTATTGTCGCTTCATTGTCGAGTTCATTTTTTGGGTCTAATATCGGCCTCGCGAATCTATTTTTAAAGTGGCTCTGAAGATATGATACAATCTCGTTTGACGATTTGTGCACGACATTATTTCAGTAATTGAGGAAAACTGAACAGGTTTTCTTTTTATTAATTGTTTTAACTGTCCTCCACACAGTGGGCAACCAGACGGACATAAAACGAAAGTGTTATTTTTCAAAGTTTAAACATTGGAATAATTACTTCTGTCTTTGATCTATCTTGCCCTGAAATAGCATTTTCAGAAATTAAATTGAACGTTGAAAAACACATATTAAGAAATTTGTTCAAAAATCGATATCCTCAAATAAAGTTAATTTTTTGACCAACTTACTGGAATAGTTTAATTTGAAAAACTATCTGAAAAGAATTATTCATCTATGAGCTCCATTTTAATGAAAAGATCATTTCGATTGAACTCGAATTGCTACAGCAAAAAAAATCTACTAGGCTAAAATTGAGTATCAAAAATGCATCATTCTGTATTTTGTAAACGCTACAAACAGCTAAAGTCCAATCGAGCTCAGCCTTCTGCTTAATAATCCTCTATGTGTGCTCTACCATTGATCATAGAGCCAATTAGCATCAGTAGGTCTGCATTGTGCTGGCGGTTTTTCAAAAACCATAATCTTGGGAGTTCCAGGATTGGCACTCGGTGACTATTGGTAACCTTGAAAACGGAAGGACTATAGGCAATCATCATGCTGACGCTCGTAGCAATATTTGTTTTTAGAAAAAGTCCTAAAAATCCACCGAAAAGCGGGTTTTACGAAAATTTACGTTTTCAGGTTGTTTTCTCCTAATATTAAAAAAAGTCGCTAATCCTTACTCAAAAAACACCAGAACGAGTTCAAAACTTCAGAATGTAGAGTATTTAAGCTATGCTATATCCTGTTTATAGGAGATCTTGAACGGAATTTTACAAAACCCGAAGGTTTTCCAAAAGGATTTCTGGAAAATCTATTAACAAAAATATGTCTTTTGCTTTTCCGATCTTATATCCACATTTAGCGGACAATATTAATCATACCCTGAGGCATAATTGCAGCGCGTACATTTATGATTAAAACGAGACATCTCTAGCTGTACATGACCTTTCTTTGCAAAGTTATTGAATTTACAAGAGAAGCCCTAAATTAGTTTTTTCTTATTTCTGTAGCTTTGAGCTGACAATGATCATTTAGGGCTTCTCTTGTAAATTCAATAACTGTGCAAAGAAAGGTCATGTACAGCTGAAGATGTCTCATTTTTAATCATAAATATGCGCGCTGCAATGATCTCTCGTTAAGAAAGTACTTTTTAGAGTTTCTGAAAAAGTGGTTTTTCGGAAAAAAATTTCAGAAAACCGGATCTTAGAAGAACTAGTGGAAGCTCTCATGTTTATATTCGGAATCAGCGTGGTCGATTACCTAAAACCCAATGGGTTTGGCTGAAAAAGCGAGGTAACAGTTGGTTATGTTTCTTCTTGTCAGCCAAAACAGTTTTATCGAAAAACAGAATAAAAAATTTGCTTAAATGTTCAGCTTTTTAGAAAAAGCGTTAAAAATCTTTTCGAAACCAAAAGAATCTTCTAAAAACAACTAGTTTTTTAATTTTTTGACCGACATGACCTTAATCGACATCTTTAAGTTTGTAATTGTAATGCATGAAAAGGTGGACACGCTTACAAAGAACTCATATCATTTTTGAGCATACGCATTTAAATTTTCCTCAGTTTTGTTGGGTTCAGAAGAATTCAGACAGTTCAACTATTTTCATTACAGCTTTGCAATCTGGTGGAGGGCAGCTTCGTTCAAAGCTTGGTTCCTGCAGCTTTTCTAGGCATAAACTTCTCTTTGAGAATGCACTCAGCGGCACCGATCCGGCTTCATCACACTTTGTCTCTATACAAGCTAAATACGAGATCACAGAGGTGGAAAAAAATTTTTATTAACAATATTCAATACTGGAAAATTTTGAAGGCGGTGAAATGTCATTCGAGTCTCCCAGGCCGCTATTTACTTTAGGGGTTAATGATTTGCTTTACAAGAAGACACATTAAGCCAAAACTTCTGGACTCTGAAGTTTTACGAATCAGACACAAATAAATGAAAATTTGGATCAAATCGAAAGCTGCATCAGTTGACTGATTTGATTACCACTACTACCGTCACCACCCACAATTATTTCCGCTCGTTGTTGATCAGGAAACCATCTCAAAATTCCAGCTGGATACGAAGTATACATTCCATGGTTTTCATCAACTAACATACGCAGTGGCACAAATGCGTTACCTAGAAGTGAGACTGCATAGCTACTTACGACAGTTGTGCCGAAACCAGCTCCCTGTAACCATTTATGGCTTCTTTTGTTATTAAGATCGAAAATGGTATTAGCATGCATTTCGTACACAAATATATAGATGGGGTAACTAAATTGATCTGCTGCACTTCCAACAATAAAACACAATTATTGAGGGATGGAAAGCTCATTAGAAAGATTCGCTTTTAGCAATCAGTAGCTTGTTTACTCCTCTACAACTGCTCGAGGCGCTTTTTATTAGGTGTTCTAAATTCGCAGCAAATTAGCTTTTAATGAGAAGAACTTCGAATTTCGGGCCTTTTTTTGCCACAGCATCACGCGCCGAAAGCCAGTTCCAAAAATTCGAGTCTTTAACCACAAACCTTCACTTTAATACCAAAAGTAGAGTATGGCGAGCTGCATCGGATGGCGCAAGTTCGAAGTTTCTAGCTGTTACACTTTTTGAGAAAAGCTCAAATTACTGTGTCTAAATGTCATAGCGTCTCGCTTGGACAAGCCGATATACAGAACTACGTAGTTTCCATTTCTGCGTGACTTCTTCCGTTTCCTAGAAAACTCATATCAGTTTTCTGGATAATTAAACAACTCAATACGAGTTTCTTAAAAGCTCAAAATCTCGTCTTTCAAAAACAGTTACTTATAGGAGACAAGTGAAGAACACATTCTTTTAACAGCATATTCTTCAGCACCATTAAAATTTTACTTATAAGGAGACGTTTCTTGGTTTCAAGTCCGATTAGAAGCTTAATCTTTATCTATTGTCCGGGATATATGAGGAAATTGTGCTGGAACTGTAAAGGGATATAGTTTGAAATTAACCTGATTGAGATATTCCTAAAAAGATATCCCGATCAGGATACTAAAAATTTAATTTTTGGATTTGTAAGAAAACGATAAATTTTAATTATATGAGCGTTCAATATTCTTCTGTTTTCATCTCTTTTCGAGATTTTACAAGTCTAAAATAATGAGATATAACTTACACGTTTCAGAATACTGCTTCTCTACAAACGAAAAAGCAATAGTTTCAAGTCTGGTAGTGGGTCGTGTCACTTTTCGACAATATATTAATTGAAATGATATAGAAAGTTGTCAAGCTTAATACTAGACTTCTTCATAGGTCGCGGCTATGCTACTCGAACTGCCGGTCACTTTTCCCTATGAAAGTAAGGAGGATCTCTAATCATGCGCCATAGATCAGCACAACTCATTAACATAGGCACCCTCACCAACAACAACGCTGCAAAGACCGAATTCCTTAAATAATATCTTCTATGCTGATGTGAGCAACACCCGTAAAAGACCCAAACGAACAAATGAAACAAAAAGCAAAAAAAACACTTCAACACAGTTCTAATTTTACCGCCTCAATCATAAACCATTTTTTATTCTTTTTGCTCGCCGACTTCAGCGTCTCCCACAACTACACTCCGCAACACACACCCTTCGCTGAGCACATGCAATTTAATTTTGAAGCTTCTGCAATTACCTTTCCATTTTCAGATGATATCTGGTTGTCCGCAACATAAAGCGTTGTTAATATTCGGTTGACTTTCAAGCCTTTTGCAATTACTTTTCCACCTTCAGATGATATCTGGTTGCCCTCAATATCAAGCTTTGTTAATGTTCGGTTGACTTTCAATGCTTCTCCAATTGCTTTTCCACCTTCAGATGATATCGCGTTGTAGCTAATATTCAGTGTTGTTCTGGAATGAGAAAGAATTGTTGCTACCATTTCTTTTTCGGTTTCTGATAGTCTCACATTTTGGAGATTGTCTGAAAGTGATATATCGACGTCCGCAGAAATGTCCTTATTGCCTGCTTTTGTGGTTTTTGGGGGTTGTGGCAATGTTTCTGGTGTAGCGTCCTGGGTGGAAAGTGCAGAATAACCTAATGGCGGTTTTAAAAATAGAATGGAAGGTATTAGTTCTCGCAATTGAACAATGTTGAGTCCGGCAGCGGGCTGCACTCTACCCACAACTTCGAATTGTGTTGCCGGTAAAAGAAGAATTTCATCTTCTGCTGGATAATGTGAATGCTTCTTTATCGCTTTTCCGTTCAAGCATTCAATATTAAACAGTGTTCGTGTA